GGATGTGACAATAAGCTATACATTTTTATTATACAAGGAAGTGATAATAAGCTAAACATTTTCGTTATACAGGCAGGTAAAGGAGAGTTTACCAGTTATTTTAAACAAGTTCATGTATGTCCAGTGCGCAAGACATAAACGCCTTTATTCTACACACATTAAGCCGGGTACCCGTTATAACTGAGACAATTTAGTCAGCTCAGCGGCTTTACTTTCCATATTCACTTTGGTTTGGTACTTTCTGTTTTAATTTATATTCGAAATAAGCGTGTTTGTCTTTGTTTGTTTGTGTGTGTTGGGGTCGTGTGTGGATGGGTGGGTGGGTGAGGGGGGGGGGGGTGACACTGAAAGGAAACAGATTGCCTTTTTTTTGTAAGTTTAATGGATGCTAAATTCAGAGGCCAGCGTTGGACTGGAACCCCCAGTGTGAAACGAAAATCAGGCCTATGCAATCCTGGAGAAAGATTGTGGAAAGAGAAGCAATCACTGCTGGGCCAACATGGGCTCAACTAAAGAGAGCTGCCCAAAACAGAGTCCGGTGGAGAGCCCTCTGCTCCTGATGGGCTTCAAAGGGTTAAGTCAAAGTCAAATTCAGAGTCCGTTCCTGATGTTATAATCAGAAATTTAGTAAAAGCGGTGAGTTATCTATACTCCTCCGATTATCCCATCATATAATGCAAGTAATACAAACATTATGGAGGACGTGGTATAGCGGTAGAGCGCTAGACTGCTAACCCGAAAGTCTCGAGTTCGAACCCGGGTTCAAAAGAGAAGAACGTTCCATAGTCTACCCAGTTTTGATAGATTTCTGGGGTCGGCGTGGTCGAGTCGGTAAAGCTCATGGTTGCTAAACCGAAAAGTCTCGAGTTCGAACCCTCGGGCAGATGAGGCTTGTTAGCTGGGACAGCCACTCTTCTAGGAGAAACAACTCCAAAATGTGTTCTTGGTTGGACAAAGGCTATGGAAGCAAATCCAAAAAAGAAAAGCAGGCTGAAATCGGAGTCAATGGCCTTAATGGCGCATAACCAGTTGACACGTACCGCTTAATTGTGTTGAAGGCGTGTTCGAGTCGGCAAAAAGCTCATGGTTGATAAATTCGAACAAAGTCTCGAGTTCAAACCCACTGGCAGATAAATCTCGATCCCTTTCAACACTAATAATTAAGAACTAAGAAGAAGAAGAAGAAGATAGATTTCTAACTCACGTAAGGGAAAATAAGGGCCGCTTGGCATAGTGTCGACGTCACAGAAACAGGTGAACTCTACTTCACTTGCCCAATGGACCAATAGGTTCGAAAGGAGAACTTTAAAACACAAACATCAATTGGTGTTTTTGCTGCTCATTTTCTAGACAATTCCAACTAATAGAATATTTTGAATACAGCTCTATTTCAATTTACCACCTAAAATAATGTTATAACCTTGTTAAAAACGGATGAATATCAAATAATTTAAAAAAAGAATTTGGTTTTTAATAACTAGACTCGGGTTCCTCTGTGGTCTTTGGTTTGGTAATACAGTACAGTAAACAGTTTATTATTTACAGCATATCGGTTAGGGCCAGTGTTCGTGCAAATAAAGTTATTAGCCACATTGACAAATAATATTAGTATGGATCTGTCAAAATTATTTTTAAAATGTTAAAGAAGCTAAATAATTCGTATACTTACGTATAGGCCTTCTATGATCCAATGGTATAGTGGAATGCTACAATGAACAATTATGAAATACACAACAAAATACCAAAATACTGTTTCTTATATGTCCAGTGTGTATTACCTCCCTTCAGCTGTTGTTAAAATTCCCTCTCACAAAAGTAGCCGTGGTGTAGTAACTTCCCTTTTATACCGACTGCAGTTTTCCTGCCGAAGTTTGTTGGTAAACGTCAGTTCAACAGTCTAGAAATATCCCTCAGATAATCTACCTGCTAAATTAAGATCCACCTCAGTCTATCTTTGTCTTGGGTTTTCTATTTTAAGTTGGACGAGTCTGCGCGGAAAGCGGTCGGACAGATTATTTAGCACGAGAATCGTACAGGATAAAGGCTTTATGAACAAATGCAACAAGTTTGGATGCCGTGCACTATCCCGGCCGGAGGATGGCTGGTGTCTCCGCTAGGGGCTTGAGCGAAGTGAACGCTGCAACGACGGTCCTTAATCTTTTAACTCCCCGCTTGTCTGAACTGCAAAGGCCCTTCACTCGCGTTGCCAAAAACTAAGAGAGGCAACTCCCCAGCGGGCAAGGAATTTCCGACGGTCACAGCTTTTTCGGTAGACACTGCAAGTCGACCTTTATTTTTTCTTTCGAAATTTAAAATATTATTATTTGTTGTTTAAAGTCTGCAACAGAATAAGTTTTGTTTAATACTTGAAAAATAAAAAATTTTATTCTGATTTAACAAAACAGTACAGGTGGCAATTTTTAGAAAACTTTTTCATATTACAAAATGTAAATATTACAATTAAACAGTATTTCTCTGACATTGTTAACGAAAAAAAAAACAAGCTTACTAATATTTCTCGTAACGTGTTTTATTTTTATCCCCTTCACCCTTGAACGTTGAATCAATACTTAATCAGGTTAAATAAAAGAAAAATTGAGGTATATAGGTGTGGAGGTTTTGAGTTTTGGAGGTATGGAAACGTGGAGGTTTAGAGTTGTGGAGGTTTCGAGGTATGAAGGTTTGTAGGTTTAGAGGTGTAGAGCTTTGTAGGTTTATAGGTGTAGAGGTTTGGAGGTTAGTAGGTGTGGAGGTTAAGAGTTATGGAGGTATGGAGGTGTGGAGGTTTAACACATATAACTTGCTCATGCTTCTAGCTTTGATGCACGTTGCAATTAAATCCTTAACACTACTAACGGCAAGACTCTCTGCAGCTTCATTGATGAATTTTACCGCACCATATAGATTCTATATTGGGTAATAAAACCGTTAGCACAAGTTGACACACTTCGCTGACATTTTATGCTTATTACCTCCCTTCGGGCTACCCGTCCGACGTCTATTTATAGACATTCGACGTAAATGAAAATGTTCATTTAAAAATAGCCCGAAAACTCTCACTGCGGCGATTTGTGTCTAATTGTATCAAGGTCGGGGGACCCTTGTCATTGTAGCCTCGCGTATTTCAGCCACTTGTCTTGGGCCTCGCCTTAACATTTTCTACATGGCAAACATGATCGGGGATTTTATTTTTAGCCAGACCAGCTAAAATGGGCAAACATTTTGCGTTGAATTTATCGGCCTCTAAATGTAATTTCACACTTCCTTTTTCGTTTAAAATCTTGGGTTTTTCTTTTTTAAATTTAAATTGAGTTTTTTTTTATTATTTCTAGAAGAATATTTCAAAATTACATTTGTTTAATAAAAAGTCGAAGTAGAAATAAACGAATCAATGCAAATAAGATTGTTTCAAATTTTAAGTCTCGAAATTTTTAAATGTTGTATTTAACTAAGAGAGAGCAATTAGGTCGAATGATAGATATCACTACTGCTAATCTGAAAGCCTCGAGTTTGAATCCCAGGCTAGAGTTTATAGGATGCTACTGAGTTTAGCCAGTTTTGACGTGTCTGATTTACGTTATGGAAACGAAAGTTGCTGAGCGTAGTGTCATTGAAGCAGTTGAACTCTACTTTATCTGCTCAGACGGGAGAGAAGGATGACGAAGATTTTACTTCGGACAGAGAAACATTTTTTCTTGTAAGAGTGCGCTAGCTTTTAAGAAAATATATATAACGCTAAATCTGATGGCGATCTGTCTCAAGATCTCGATCCATGTTTTTTTCTACGACTCTATGAGTTTCAGAAAAACACAAAGAACTACATTCCACCCACCATATATACTATGTCCGTCACTCTCCATCAACTACAACAGGGGTCTCCAAACTACGGCCCGCGGGCCGGATGCGGCCCGCGAAGTCCTCTCATCCGGCCCGCTGAGATCTTTTTGTGCAAGGAAAAATCGTTTGTTGGTGATGGCTGAGGTACTTTGCCAAGAAAAATCAAAGACATGCCTGGAAGAAACTGGCCCCCGAACTGAAGTTTGATAGTTAATGCGGCCCTCGGACTGAAAAGTTTGGAGACCCCTGAACTACAACCCCCTCGCCCATCGTCCGTCACTCCAAAACTTCGTTTCACAAGATGATGTAGAGTTTAGCAATACACTACAAACAAAGGACATGGCAAACACAGGAGAATACGAACACAAAAACACAACACAAACACAATACAAACACATTACAAACTCAATTCAACACAAACACAATACACTGCAAACATTGAACAATACAAACATTGGACAATACAAAAATTCGACAATACAAACATTGGACAATACAAACACAGGAAAATACACACACATGAAAAGACAAACACAGGACATTTACAAACATTGGACGAACACAGGACAATACAAACATAACACAAACACAATACAACACAAACACAGTACACTACAAACACTGAACAACACAAACGCAACACAATAAAAAACAAAATGCAAAACAAATACTGAAGACAATACAAACACAATATAACACTAACACATTATAATACAAACAAAATATCACTGTTCCAACATATAATACATAAAGCCATTCGTCTATCGAAATCACCCCCCCCCCCCTCCCACATTTTTTAAAACTATGTTCTTTATGCCCCGTGTACCCAATCATTTTTAAACCGATAGATTCCTGTTTTTCTATGATTTTAAAAAAAAAAATCGTCTTATAAACAGGCGTATAAACAGTCTTTTGATAAGAATGGTAAGAGGTCGATTTGTAAAACTATTTTTATAAGCCTATAAATTGATGGTATAAAATTTAAATCTCTGAGCGTTTAGGCTACATCAATTTATGTTATTAATAGCTTTTAATTATCACTGTCTTATCATTTGATTCTCAATATCGTTAAAATGACACCAGAATGTTAAAATATCGATATATATTTTTTTCTCCGTTTATTTTCAGCAAACTATTTTACATTGATCAAACACGTAATTTTACTTCCGTGGAGACTGATGAAGGAAGAACTATTTTCTTTTATTCTTGCACCTTCACCATTTTTATGAAGTATGTGTAGTAGTTTTTTTCGTCTAAATGTTCTCTATGTTTACATAGGTGTAGTATTAGAAGCTGCATGCTATACATAGTTAACATTCAAAGCCTTATGAAAACGTGGCGTATTATTCCTACTAAATCTAGATCTAGTCTATAATCGATAATCACGAAAATGCCACCATCATCATGTGATATGCTAAAAATGGTTTGTGCATACGAACGTCAGCACTGAAGCTATCTTTTACTTTAATCCAAGTCCTGACCTTAATTCTAACCCAATTTCCCATACAAACCTTAATTCTAACCCAATTTCCCATTCAAACCTTAATTCTAACCCAATTTCCCATTCAAACCTTAATTCTAACCCAATTTCCCATTCAAACCTTAATTCTAACCCAATTTCCCATACAAACCTTAATTCTAACCCAATTTCCCATTCAAACCTTAATTCTAACCCAATTTCCCATTCAAACCTTAATTCTAACCCAATTTCCCATTCAAACCTTAATTCTAACCCAATTTCCCATTCAAACCTTAATTCTAACCCAATTTCCCATTCAAACCTTAATTCTAACCCAATTTCCCATTCAAACCTTAATTCTTACCCAATTTCCCATTCAAACCTTAATTCTAACCCAATTTCCCATTCCAACCTTAATTCTGACCCTTCTTCTCACGCTAACCTGACTCTAATCATACCCCTGACAACAATACCCACACAAAAAACGTAATACAATAAATATTATCCTGTTGCTATTTTTATCAGAATCTATATAAATAATTCTCTTCTTGGAGCCGTTAGAAAACACCAAGCTGTAAGCGCGCTCCCTACCTCCCCACCCCTACATGGTCTGGTGAGCTGTGGTTCATGCTAAATGTTTACGACCGTAGAGCCGGGTTTCATGACGGCTATTAGGGGCAGATGATTTAGTTTGAAACGATTTTAAACTTAGGGGAGGTAACTAAGAGAATTTTGCTTTCACGGGGGGGGGGGGGGGGGGTGTAGGGGTTGGGGAAAGGAGAGGGGGGGGGGGGGGGGGTTATCGTCCTTAACGAGCTACTGATGGTTTTTTAAAGCAAATATTTTCAGTGGCAGCATTGGTACTGTCGAATTCACAAATTATGAATTACTGACAAGTAGAAAATAAAACAACTAAATAGCGGCGTATCATAAGCCGCGGGTCGGCTCGTTTTAACTAATCCGTCAATTCAATTTGAAGATGCTTGCTGTGTTTTAACTTATCTATGAACAGCAGCTGCAGTAAGATTGTATTGCTCAAGTCGCCTTCAGTAACGCTGGACACATCGAGCAGATGAAGTAGAGTTCGTCTGTTGCTGTGACCTCGGTGTATGAAGGGATAGTGATGTCAGCACTGTGCCCGGCCGCCTTTACTTTATCTAACGGGAGTTAGGTACCCATCAGAGATGGGTGACTCAGGGACGTTCTACTGGCTTGAACACGGATTCGAACTCGAAACTTTCAGGTTAACAGTCTAGCTCTTTCCCGCTAGGCCACCCCTGTCCCATTATGTATGTGTGTACGTACCCTTAAACAAATTAATTTGAATAGTTTAGCTTCAACTATACATTGCGTTACTTTTGTTAATGTACATTTTTATTTGTAAATAAACACAAAAATATCTTTCAGCTCCAGATTTTGTTATTCTGGTCTGTAAGAAATCAAAAGTCGCACGACAAACATGCAGTACGCCGCAATCATAAGCGGTTTGTGTTTGATAATATCAGGTAAATATGTTTAAAAAATGAGGGGTAATCGTTACATGACGTCCAGGTATATGATATTTAAATTAATCAATTTTATTTGCAATATACACTAAAGTCTTATCAAATTAGAAACAGCTGATAAAAATTTAGTTTCAAGTACCACTTTTTTTTTAAATAAAAAAGAGTGACAACACTTTATGAACCCCTTCCCCCCCCCCCCCCCCCCTTTGTCACATATTGTTATAAAGTTTTGTTACAACTCTTACAAATCGATTTAACCATCTTTTTTTCCACATAAGTCCTGTAGGTTTAATTTTCTATACAATACTCTATCTATTATGCTAAGGCGTTTGAAGTTAGGTATACAAACGTGCTAGTAGTAGTATTTTTTGAGATGGTTATAGATTTGCCTTGGGTTTAATAGCAATCCGCGTGCTTTAGCAAACAAAAATGGTTTCTGAAACGTACCTGCAAATACGCGATCTAATTCAGGTGTGATTCATTACCCTCCCCCACTTTTCTTTTTATAGTTAAAGTTTTTACGTGTATTCTAGACGAAAACGAGGCAATGTCAATTAAAGTTTGCAACGCAAACGGTTCTTGCTAATAAACAGCTCACAAAAAAAACGTAAATTCTCTCTATAGCTGATTAAATTTTTTTAACTGTTATAATTCGATCGCAGGTTATTTGAAAATTTTATTTCGTAAGGTAGTAAAATAAAATATGCGTTACAAAATCATTCCAGATTGGCGAAAAATGGTAGAACTGCATATTTTGGCTTTTATTTTACATTTTTAACTCTACTATTTTCATGAATTTTTTATTTTTTTTTTTTTAAATTTAATTGCTGAAAAAATATTATCAACATATATTATGGAGATTAACATGGAGTCAAAAAACGAATCCTGCTAACATCAATAAAATAATTTAGGGCGTTTCAAATTCCCTTAAACAATTGTAGATATATATTACGACCAAAGCACGTATTGGTCGGCTTTCTTGGTCAAAATCCAAAGAACTTGAAAATTATACATTTTATTTTGTACATTGGCCGGCCAATGCGCGCATTGCCCTGGTCATTCTCCGATGTAGGCTACAATGTAACTACCTCTGAAATTGTATTGAACTATAGAGTATGTCCGGGCATAGCGCTGTCCACACTATCCCTTCATTTGCCGAGGTCACAGAAACAAGTGAACTCTACTTCACTTGCCCTATAGACCGTCAGGTTTGAAAACTTTTTTTTTTATAGAGTATGTCCAAGAAGCCGGCTCCGAGGTTTCCCTGAATTTCCTCAACCAAAACGGACTGGTCGCGACGCTGGACGGTTACCTGCCCCGCTGCCCTGGGTGTGTGGTGTTCGGGAGAGATCCGCTCTACGTCTACGGCACGATGTACGTGCCGAACAACAAGCTGAGCCTGATGAACAGAGGAATCTTTTACCTGGAAGTGTGCGGCTGGAACGAAGACTGTCAGAATTATCAAAAGCAGCACAACAAGGTGATGTATTCTTTTTGGCACATTGGTTGATGTCTTCTTCTTCTTCGTTCTTAATTTTTAGTGTTGGGATGGATCGAGCCTTATCTGCCAGAGGGTTTGAACTCGAGACTTTTTTCGAATTTATCAACCATGAGCTTTGCCGACTCGACCATGCTTCCATCACAATTAAGGATTACTTGTCAACTGGTTATGCGCCATTGAGGTCTTTGACTCCGATTTCAGCCTGCTTTTCTTTTTTGGATTTGCTTCCATAGCCTTTGTCCAACCAAGAACAAACTACAAGACAGGTTCGAACTCGAGACTTTTCGGTTTAGCAACCATGAGCTTTACCGACTCGACCACGTCGACCCGGTTGATGTCTAATTTCTTCAAGAAAATAAAATAACTTTTGGAGATGGTGGTTAAAATAAGGACATAAATGCAGCCTAAGAGTATCTTTTAGGCATCTGCTATCACCCTCTAGCCAGCGACGTAGCTAGACGAAGGCCGGTGGGGTGGCCGCACCGCGCGCCGACCCTTAACGGGCGTCTAAAGGGGTAAAACAAAATTTAAAAAGCTCATTTTACGCTGGGGTATTTCATTATATAAATTCAAGTTAAGAAAGTAAATTGCTACAACGCTTTACTCACTTATTCAACTTTTTTCTGCATCAACTGGGTGGTACCACAATAACGACCTTATTTGGATAGTAACTGGTTAAAAGTACCATCAACCTTTCTTTCAAACTGAGGGGGGCGGGGGCGTTTTTTCACCAGGTTGAATAACTATATAATAATGATAGGGAGAGGGGGGGGGGGCGAAAATTTCGATGGCTCGCCCAGGGTGCCTGAATAGGTGGCTGCGTCTCTGTACCTAGACCCCTCACCCTTAGAAAAAAAAATTAAATATAGTTTCCGTTCAGCCCGGAAATTTAAATTCCCCCTCACAAAATTATCAAGTAGCCCCTCCACATTTAAAATATCTGGGGAAAAGAAAAAGATCCGCCAATGGTTTTAACATAAAGAACGTGTTTTCCATTTGTCTGATCACTTCTCTTCTTCTTCTTCTTCGTTCTTAATTATTAGTGTTGAAGGGGATCGAGATTTATCTGCCAGTGGGTTTGAACTCGAGACTTTGTTCGATTTGTTAATCATGAACTTTTTGCCGACTCGACCACGCCTCCAACACAATTAAGCGTTACGTGTCAACTGGTTATGCGCCATTGAGGGCATTGACTCCGATTTCAGCCTGCTTTTCTTTTTGGATTTGCTTCCATAGCCTTTGTCCAACCAAGAACAAACTACAACAAAGGCAGCAGTTGTTTAATTTTGGAGTTGTCCCTCCTAGAAGAGTGGCTGTTCCCAGCTAACGAGCCTCATCTGCCCGAGGGTCTGATCACAATACTGCAGTTTTCTATTCCGTCCGGAAATTTAAGTTCCCACTCACGAAATATCTAAAAAAAAAAAAAAAAAAAAAAAAAAATAATAACAAAAAATACAAGATCCGCCACTGTATTCAACAAAACAGACCGTGTTTTCCTTTCCATCACAGTACTGCAGCTTTCAAAAACATTTCGTGACCTCCTGCGAACGAGAGAAATCCACCTCCACCAACTGCTACTGCCACGACTTCGAGCCCAAGAGATGGTACGCCAGGATCATCCCAGAGGCCTTCGTCAGGCCGGATATGACCATACGATTTCTGTTTGACACGGACATGAACTCCAGGGCCGCGAGGGGCCCGTACATTAAAAACCAAACTCTATTCATCAAGGACCTCATTGGTAGGCAACTAGTTATACAACCAAATTCTATTCATAAAGGATCTTATTGGTAGGTCAACTAGTTATACAACAAAACTCTATTCATTAATGACCTTATTGGTAAGTCAACTAGTAATACAACAAAACTCTATACATCAAGGACCTCATTTGGTAATACAACTAGTTATACAGCAAAACTCTATTTATAAAGGACATCATCGGTAAGGCAACTAGTAATACAACCAAACTCTATTCATTAATGACCTAATTGGTAAGTCAACTAGTAATACAACAAAACTCTATTCATCAATGACCTAATTGGTAAGACAATAGTTATGCAACCAAACTCTATTCATCAATGACCTAATTGGTAAGACAACTAGTAATACAACCAAACTCTATTCATCAATGACCTAATTGGTAAGACAACTAGTAATACAACCAAACTCTATTCATCAATGACCTAATTGGTAACTCAACAAGTTATGCAACAAAACTCCGTACGTTCAGGACCTTACTGGTAAGTCAACTAGTAATACAACAAAACTCAGTACACCAACGACCACATTGGTAAGACAACTAGTAATACAACTTAACTTTGTAATAGCCAATACCTACTTGGTAGGTAGTGCTACAACCAAACTCCATATATATATATATATATATATATATATATATATATATATATATATATATATATATATATATATATATATATATATAAAATACATATATATAATACATATATATACATATAAATATAAATTATATATATATATATACATATACATATATATATATATATATATATATATATATATATATATATATATATAATATTATATGTATGTATGTGTTGTCAACAGACCTTGGTTTCATTGGTTTTGGTTCTAGCAGAACTGGTCGATCAGCTAACAGATCCTCGTCTAGTCATGAGGTGAGTACCTATAGTTGGTATCTAGTGAGTGCTGGGCGGTTTCAGACCCACACGGTATAAGAATTTAGTTTACACATTATTATTTTTTTTTAATTTTCAAAAAAAATCCCTCAAACCTTATAACGTTTAAATAATTTAGTTTTCATCTTAAATAAAAAGAATTACAATTCCTGATATTGTCTTAAAGAAAATTGCGGTATTAGTTTATTCATGCGAAAATTCTTAATAGCAATATGCAAAAATACTTATTATGCAAAAAAAAAAAAGTTACATAAAATATGTAAATATCACTCCTGTTACAAAATCATATACAGTAAGTACCCTTTCAAACCGAACGGTCTAACTTCTGCCAGAGGCGTAGCGAGGGGGGTGAGGGCGGGGGTGCGGACCGCACCGGGTGACACCATTTAGGGGAGGGGGGGATGACACCAAGGCAAAAAATAGCAAAATATCTAGAGAAAAACTTGAGTGGGGTGGGAGTTCACCTGTTTCAATGACCCCGGCATAAGAAGAGGTAGTGTGGTCAGTAGTATGCCCACTTTACATTAAGTCAGAGCTAGTTGCATTCATAGATGTTCTACGGATAAGTAGGCTACCCGGTATTCAAACTCGAGACTTTTCGGTTAGCGGTGATATTCTCTACCACCAAACTACGCCGTCCCCCCATATAACAAATACAACACCAACCAACAACCCGTTGTAATTTTACGATAATCTAAGTGTGATGTCGAGTTTGAGAAAGCTATATATCAGTTATGTTCCGTCATGAGCTTGTGACATACATTCTCTCCAGAGTTTCTTCCAGGCATCTCTTCGGGGGGGGGCTTCGCCCCCCCCCCCCCGAAATTTTTTTACCGCCCCCCCCCCCCCGAACGAAATGAAATTTATATAATTTATATAGAAAGTATATACTTTTAACAGTGTCCGCCCCCCCGAAGAAAGTTTACCGCCCCCCCCCACCCCCCCAAAAGATTTCAAGTGCCCCCCCGGAGAAAAAAGTCTGGAAGAAACACTGATTCTCTCTCGTTCCGCAGCTCCGCCAAATGTGAGGGTGGGGGCGAAGAAGAAACCCCCAGTTGTGAGGGTGGGGTTTTCGTGGTTATGTGAATGTGTATTTGTATACCGTAATGTATACTGTAATACACATCCAGTCCAGGGATCGTACCGTGTTGTCGTCTTCTTTAAAATCGTAGCCTGGCATAGTTTAGAATCAACACAAGTGCAACAATAAACTTGTCATTAACTTAATTTGATGAACTGAACTTTATAAAATTCTTATTTCAGCGTTCGACTGTTCTTGGAAATTAAGTTTTATCACAACAATAAAAAATGTTAACCTTTTTTTGTGTATGTCTTCACAGGTTTTAGACCGGCATTGATCTCAAAGGTTCTAGCACTGTGCTGATGCTGGCTACAACATAGGATGAAAAAACACAGTGTCAATGTTAAATTGCACTAGAGTAACTAATATGTAAACTTGGCATAGGTTAGAATTGGCACTAATTATGGTTTAAGTTTGTGAATTAGTAAGCACATATTCATTAATTAGTGGTTTTATGCTCATTTTCTTTAGGTCTAATAATTCCTTAGTGCGTAGTGTTAAAAATTGTTAAGATTTACATTACCATATTTAAAAATTTAAATAAAATTTGATTTATTTTAACATTTTTGAGATAAAGTTTTTTTATTTATTTTTGCATTGTGTTTGTGTTCAATCTTAGTTTTTGTTGTAATTTATTGGGAATAATTTATGGTAATTAGTTGGGAATGATTTGTGGTATTTTTTATTGGGAATGCTCAGTGGTGATGTATTGGGAATGATCTATCTTAATTTAATAGAATTGATCTGAGGTAATTTATTCAGAATAATCTATTGTAATTAATTGGGAATAATCTATTGTAATTAATTGGGAATAATCTATGGCAATCATTTGGGTGTGATATCTAGTACCTAATCTATTGTGAACTATCTGTTGTAATAAATTGGGAGTGATCTTTGGTTATTTAATTGGAATTACCTATGGTATTATGGTATGACCTATAGTAGTTTATTACCAATCGGGGAATGTTAGCGTGGAATATTCAAAGTTGAAAATGTTTATTCATAAGTCTCAAAATTGTTTTAGCTCGTTTCTTAAATTTAATTTAGTTGTTTGTTATTATTTTTTTTCGCGTATTTTCGATCTAAAATGTGATAGTCGTTTAGATTCATTTAAAAAATGTCTTAAGCATACATGCCGCAAGCGTGCTCTTGACTTTATATATTTTAAGGTTAAAAGCATGCAAATATTACATATCATCTTACAAAAAGAGCTTTCAAGTGTATTGCATGCACGCAATCAAGGAATAAGCTACATTAAAGAGGATTTCTTATATATATATATATATATATATATATATATATATATATATATATATATATATATATATATATATATATTAAATATGATATTATTTAAAAAGAAATTAGAAGTTTTTTTTTTTTTTTTTTATTTGTTATTGTGGCAGAGTTGTTAAAAAAAACTGCGTCTTCTATTGCGGTCATTGAAAGGTATAAATACATGGGCGTAGGACAGAAGTTTGACAGGAAAAATATAGTCTTTTCTTTATGTTGCCACAGAGGCGTAGCGACCCTTCCCGGCACCCGTGGACAAACTTTAATTTGCACCCCCCCCCCCTCAAACTTTTCGATTTGCACCCCCCCCCCCTGCAAAAATGCAGCTACAATGACATTTTAATTTGTTTTTACAACCCATTTTGGCGCCCCCTAAGGTCGGCGCCCGGTGACATATGTCCCCCCCCCTGCCCCCCCCCCCCCTCCCCCCATCGCTACGCCTCTGTGTTTCCCCTTTGTCTAGATCCTTATATAAATATTGTTCGAGGCGATTTTCTACATGTCTCAATGCAGTGACTAACCTTTCATTAATTCAAGCAGTTCCACATCATCGTACTGGTGTTTGGTCCTGCAAATGTCAAAATAACCTTCGGATCTAGCAGTCAATGACGTCATTATTATGAAGAGGGTTGTCAGCACTATGCCCAGCCGCCTGACATTCACTGACGTGAGTCAGGTACCCATTAGTGCTGGGTGGACTCATGCAGTCCCCGATTTATAGGCCTCATCTGTCTGGAGGTCTCGAATCCGAACTCTTGAATTTAGGGTATCCCACCGACCACACCTCTAATGAATGTGTATACTACCATACGACTACACCTCTAATGAACTTGTAGACTACATATAAACACATCTCTAGTGAATGTGTATACGACCATATCTCTAATGAACTTGTAGACTACATATAAACACACCTCTAATGAACTTGTAGACTACATATAAACACATCTCTAGTGAATGTGTATACGACCATACCTCTAATGAACTTGTAGACTACATATAAACACATCTCTAGTGAATGTGTATACGACCATACCTCTAATGAACTTGTAGACTACATATGAACACACATCTAATGAACTTGTATATTACCATACGACCACGCCTCTAGTGAATGTGTAGACTACATACAAACACATCTCTAGTGAATGTGTATACGACCACACCTCTAGCGGATGTGTATACTACTAAACGCTTCTAGTGAACTTGTATACTACCATACATCTAGTGAGAATGCGTAATATTACCATGTGACTACACCTCTAGTGAATGTATATACTACAATACCACAAAATTAAAACCTGGAAAACTAAACTAAACAGACTATCAAAACCATAGACTTATAATCAATAACATCAGTAACTAAAACAAAACAGTTTAAAAATTTATTGTTAAAAGAAAACTTAGTAAAAACATGGTTAAAACTACCTTAAAAACAGTTTTGTAAAAATAAATTCAAAATATTTTGATTCTAACAGAGGCAATATAGTTAGAACACTATTAATATAATTAAGCATATATAGAAAGCAAAAAAGTCAAAAAGCAATCACCCATTTTGAAGGGGAAAAAAATTACTTAAGTCAGGTACAATATATGTCGAAAATTTTGAAACAAAACAGTTTTGTAGAAGTAAGTTGTTCTAACAGATGCAATGCATTTAGAACTGTAGCTATTAGATTTAATAAATATATAAATTGTTTATTGAAAACATGGTATGAAAGCAATTTAAGTGATCAACAGTTTGGAAACATTTTTATTGACTTCAGGTTCAATACGTTGTTTTAAGTTTAAGTCACTTTACAACAAGAAATCATGTAAGTGAAGTCATGCCCCAATCAGGTAAGTGACAGAGGGCATGGTTGTCTTTGGTATTCTGCTTTCAGTGATTCAAAACAGCGATTCAAAACATGGCACTGTATAATATTGACATTGATTTCAGACATGGCACAGTCTATTATCGACAGTTATTTAAGATATGGCACTGATCATTGTCAGTCATTTATGACTTAACTATCAGACATCAGGCATTTATGATATGTCACTGTATGGTGTCAGTATTTTGTAAATATGCACCATCTGATGTCAGTGATTTGAGAGGACAACATGGCATAATGAAGTTGATGTATATAGTATTTTTTAATATTTTTATTAATTTAAACCTTCTTGGATATTTTTCCATGACCCAAATTTACTGGGATGGTTTAGGGAATGTAACCAAAACTATGCAGGTCTTAGCTCATTTTTGAAAAATGTTATGGAAGTACTTTTTCCATATAGTTATATAAGCAGTTAGCAAATTATTAGACCTGTGTATTTACATACATTCATAAATGGTAACAAAATGGTAAATTGCAGAATTTTGCACACAATAAAAAAATTTAATAATATCATTTTATATAAATAGTGTTATGCTCTAGCAGAGGAATAAACGTAAACCCATTCAATAATTTATGGAACTTTGTATTCATTTGGAAAATAACACAGGGGAGATAATGAAACCATCAACCATGGAATATCAAGTTGTTCTGGCTCACTGATATTTTTATCTGAGTCAGGGAATGGTGAAGATAGTATGGTTGCAATGTGGTACAACTGGCAAGGTGTGGCTACATCACAAAAAAAATGCTTGTAACAATATTGACAAACCATAAATAAAAAAATTGCCACTTTTACCCTCCGTTAAACAACAGACCCAAATTAAAAGTGAATACAATTTTACATACGTTTTAGTGAAAACAAAAATACATTTTTTTTTAAAAATTGCACTTAAAGTAACGAAACATTTGAAATAGTTAACGAAAGTCAATTAAGATGCATTCTAATACAATATTTACATAGAAAAAAAGGATTATACAAATATTTATTTGGCATTTAATATTTTATGAACAGGTTGTGCAAGTAAAAACAGCTCAATCAAAAGCAGTGATGTGATTATGCATAGTTATAACTAATATGTAAACTATATTAAATATTTAAATTTTTATTTTAAAATATATATTTTATAATAAAAAAATTTTATCACTTCAGAAATACACTTAAATACTTTAAAAGGCAAGATAAAACTAAAATAAAATGTTTCATATTTAATTTCAATTGAGGTGTTTAATCACAACTTAAATGATGAAAAAACTCAGAAAAGCAACAGGTTGCAACACACAAAATTTGTTCATAGTTAACTACAACCATAATATTAATCAGAAAAATAAAAAATAAAACAGTTTCTGAATTTTTATAAACAAACTTAATATTTCCATAACCAGGGTAAGATAAAACACTGACGTTTTTCCTTAATTTATTTTACTTTTTCTAACATTTTTGCCATTCCAAATAAGAAGGGGAGACAACCCAACAATTAGACCAAGAGATTCTCGTCAAAGGATGACCTCAACCATGAGCATTACTAGGTTGAAATTATTTTAAGCTGTTTTGGTGTTCAGTTCTAGAAGAGTTTTCTCTCCTTGTTGCGACTCTTATGTTTGCTCAAGATTCCAGTCTCACGTTGCTCTGTTTCCAAGAAACCCTGGATAAACAAATTGGAGGTGTTAAAATATTTGGTAATTAATTAAACAAAGCCAGGGGAAAAAGTGGATAGCTGCATTTTGAAAATTTTAGTAAACCAAAAAATAGTAAAAAATAAAGTATATCTAAATTTAATATGACAGTAAATGAATCGGGCTAAGTTGGATCAATACATTACAAGCACGCAAAACTTTTTTTAATAACACAAGCTTGAAATACACACAAAAATTATTTTTTTTGAATTGTCTAGTATTGGTTTGGATAGAATGTTTAAATAAATAAATTGAAAACTAAACTGCAGAATGTCCCATATATGACACAACTTGAGAAAAAAAAATGTTATAACCTGTTTACTTATACCCCTGTATTGATACAAATAGGACTATGGTATAAAATACATCTGATACAAAATGCAATTCACTTACATGTTTTAAAATATCAGTATTATTTTTTAACATAATTTTTTAGGATACAAAGAAAGTATAATGTCATAGTCAGTGCTTCACACACATACTGTGAATTTTCAGTATGAAATAACTGTGAAACTTCTAAAAAATATAATTAATTATTTTTCTGTTTTTTTTTTCTAAATTGGTAAAAGTAAACACTAGACCTTCTAATGTAATTTACTAATGCAAATTCATTTATTAAAACAAAATTTTTGGCCTTTATATTAATAAGATCACTTAGTAGAAAAATCTAATAATTCCTTAATTATTGAAAAAGTGGTGTAATTAATTTGAACAAGTGTATTTTGCAAATTAAAAAGTTATTCATTATTTTCTCTAATCTAAAATTAAGTACATTTTCTATCTTTATTAAAATAATATTCCCCTGTAAAGCTATCAGTTATGATAATGCATAATTGTGTTGGCTTTAAAAATAAAAGAAAAAAAGATGAGACATTTTACTGTGTCTACTAAAAAATCAAGGGAGAAAAAATAATTCCAGTTAACAGGGAAAACAGTTTTGGACTTCACTTTACTTAACACGTACTTCTACCTCTATAAATCCCTATTTACCTTAAAGCCTGCCACTACCTCTCTAAATACCTATTTACCCTAATGTCTACGACTACCACTGGTAAATCCCTATTTACCTTAATGGCTGCTCCAACTCCATTTAAGTCCAAAAGAAATGTGTCATGACCATATAGAGAGTTTAGCTCATAAAAGGTTACCTGTTGGTTACCTGAAAGGAAAAGTCAGATAGCTCTGGTAAGGTAAACCATCAGCTAACTCAATGAGAGGCAAGATAATCACATAATATACCTCGGGTCAGAAAATCACTTAATATAAAATGTAAGACAACAACATAATATACCACTGGTTAGAAAATAACATAATATACCACAGGGTAAGAAAGTCACATAATATACCGCAGGTAAGAAAGTCACATTATATACCACAGGTAAGAAAGTCACATAATATACCACAGGTAAGAAAGTCACATAATATACCACAGGTAAGAAAGTCACATAATATACTGCAGGTAAGAAAGTCACATTAAATACCACAGGTAAGACAAACAATGACATAATATGCCAGGTCAACGACAAATACTGAAAAGCCACATTTGCCCGAAGGCAGTTTTCCCAAATGGACGTTGCAGGAATGAGAGCACATGCTGGAGTGAGACAACTGCTTGAATGGACATAGACCAAATGAGAAAAATGGCTGAAAGCAACTTGCACGAATGACATTTGCCCAGATATAACTACATTATAAATATGTATGACACTTGGATAATTAACAGAAACCTAAGCATATAAATATATCAATTTGGTTGGATTTTTTAAATTTATATTTTATGTTTAAAAATTGAGAAATTGCTGTAAAAAAAGGAAAAATCTTTTTCTTTAACAAATATTCAAACATGCATGAAGTAATCTCATATGAAAAAAAAATTCTTTATTAAATTTTATAAATAACATTAAAACATTGTATGAGCATCTTGATTAGTCAGGGTATAGAGGTGATTTTAATAATTACTATGCAGTGTAAAAGCTCCTTTAGACATATAACTAAAGTGCTGATGTTTGAACTTGTTTGTTAAGCCAATGTTGTTGGTAAGTTCACAAAAGAATAAGGCAAGTATTAGGTGGTGACTAATAGTCAATAAATTACAAATTGTTTAGACAATAGTTTTAACTGATCACTTAAAAATCTAATTAAATTTTCTATAAAAAGTAAGATAAAATGGTATTTTTAAATTGTTTGATAGCTAGAAAAAAACAATAATCCATTCTCTTGTTTATCACTGACACATTTTATGCTTAAACACAAATTTGTTTTTGTATTTTTAACATGATGTACACATCTGTACACCAATTTTGATTCTTAAAATATTTTCTGGCTATCATCCATTCTGGAAATTGGCCTTTTTAGGAATTTTGTCAAATATGGGCAATTTGTCCATTCCAGAAAAAGGCCTTAATTCAAACAGCATTCAGAGGAGTGTCTAGCTCCCAACATACTATAGGTAAGACAATCACGTACCACAGTGACATTAACATTGACATAAATCAGGCACAGACCTGAAGAGTAACAAAGTAGGTCACCCACCTGCTGCCTGTAGAGCAGCTGCCAGCTCCCTCTGTTGCCAGATTGGGAACAAGATATCCGTCTGCACACCAATCACCATGACAGGGCACTTAACTCTGGACAAACCTTCATTCAAAGAACCATAACCCTCGGCAATATCAAACATATCCATAGCCTGTGGGAAAATAAAATAAACCTATTATCATACAACAGGAAACTTAATTTTGATAACTGATTTTAATTTTAAAACAATAAATATGCCCAGTAAATTTTATGCATATATATTACTAAAATCCTTTTTTTCCCCCAAAATCAAGTGTAAGGTTGTTAGCAGAATTGGAATATTGGAGAAACATTAATGTTATTTCTAGACATGGGTTAGGGATGTAAAAAAAGCAAGATATACTAGGTTATAATTAACAACAAATGACCTAACACCCCTTTATTTTTAACAATATTTCATTATTAGGCCCTTATGGGAACATAGGCAATGTAATTATGTAAACATATATAAACAATTTTGACTACATAGTGGGAAAAAAAGGAAAATAATTTTTAAATTGGATAAGAGTATTAAATTGATTAAAGCAACAACATGATTATATTTACATGTTAAGTAAGTCACCATATTTTTTTAAAAAATACGTAACTGCTTGTTGAATGTGAAAAATATTTGTGTAAAAAATTGAAATTAGAAAACAACATTAAAAAAAAAAGAACTACATTATATGTAATTAATTATTGGTTTAATCAACACTTCAACTTGGTGACTAAACTTTTTAAAAGCTGGATGCTCAAAGCAAAGTTATTTTTCCACATTTTGACCTCACCCTATTTCACAAATGTCAGAACAAACCTGATTCCCCTCAGTTTGTGTAAACAAGCCTAGTGATTAATTTAACTGGGGCATAAATGTATCTCCTTTTCTTGTTGCTAATGCGAGCTAGGGTGAAGATTTTTGGTAAACATGGATGAGTTTCTTATCTACACTACTAATGGGTAAACAAGATATATTTTATACTATAGTCATTAAGGTCAAGGTCACTTAAATTTGACTGGCAGGGGAGGTCAAGGCCACTCACCTTGGACATGTAGAGGAGAGAGTTCGGGTCATATTTAGTGCTGAAACTCTCCCCCTGGTGCTCCAGGTATGACTCGATGAGGAAAGTGGGGCACAAAGATGGCGGCTCATCGCTGATTCTGTTACGGCCAAACCTCTCATCCCACTCTGGTCCGCTCCTGTATGTGATCGTTGCTATCTCTCTAGAAAATTTTAATAAACTTTTTAGATATACAAATTCTTTACAAAAAATGACTGCAATATGTGCTCAATGCAACAACAACATCTACAAATATCTCAAAACATTCACATGGTGCCCGAATAAAATACTAAAGACTTATTAGTTTTGCAGAGGCTAAATATTTTAGACTTAAATGCAACAATGAATATTGTACCAATATAGAAAGAAAAAAGTATGATAGAAAATAAAGTCTATTAGCAGAGTGTGCATGAAATAAAATTTTGCAAGGGTTTATTTTCGGAGAGACTGTTTTACAAATATTGCATGCTACACAGTTTGGAATGATATTCATGGTAACTAGGGGGTTATAGCTAATGGCAAAATGGGTGTTGCTACAACTTTTTTATTATTAGGTGTTAAAGTATTGAATCTATAAACCATATTAGTGATGTTGAGCACTCACCTCGCCAGTTTCATGCCAGTCTTTGGGTATGCCTTGCCGTAGTAGTGTCCATTGTTCCAGTTGGGGTCGCACATGATGCATTTCCGCTGCAGGTAGCGCATGGCGATAGAGGAGGGGTGGGACTGGGCACAGGATGAAATGGTGACGAACCTAAAGAAGAAGTAGCATAAGCAAAAATTAGCGTGGGCTAACAAGACAAACATACTATGATGGTGAATATAATAATATAATGATGTCCAGTTTAAATGAGTATGGCTAATCTGAGAATGGCCAATACATGAGGATAGACCAGCATGTATTTTGAAGTTCATGGAGTGGAAAACAATGGGTTCTCAGGTAGAGACTGTACAAAGTAATCAGGAAATATTTCAGACCACCCGCCCCCCCTCACCGTCAGTAGGTTGTAAGATGGCCCAGATCAACTCATCTAGTTCTATAGCCAGAAATACAATTGGATTTGGTCACCAACTTAATGCCTGCCTGCTTGCTTCCAAACTCATGACAAGTAATTATATATGCTGAATATCCGAAAAAACTCAAACAAAAACCATAAACAAAAATAAATAAACCGGGAGTGATCTCCCCTAAACTTTCTCGAATATTCTTATATAACTTGGAATATAGACATGATTTTTAATTACTTAAACTTTTAAAAATAGAATAGAATCTCATAGAAAAAAGAATTGCGCACCAAGCGAACACAAAAAAAATGTGCATAATAGTGCGCAATATTATTAGCACTTTATAAATTTACATGAGTTTTTTTGAGAAATCGGAAATAGCGTAAATTAGTACTTCCGGTCAACGGAAATTACTCAAAATTTGAAAGAAGGTAGACAATTAGATCTTTTACTTACATGTGAAATTTCATTGATCTATCTGAAATAGTACTCAAGTTTTAGGCTTTTGAAAATTTCAAAGTAGAAAAAGTACCATCAACCTAGCTGTAACGTATAATCGAGAAAGTAAAAACATGGCATAAACAAAAACATAAGCGTGCAACAAACTTTTTTTTTACCTCCCGACTCGATCAGGGAACGAAACAGCTGACTGCAGAGACAACATCCCACCAAGGGAAGAACCCACACAGCTGTGCAGCCGGTCAATGCCAAGGTCATCAAGCAGCAAGAAAATTGCATTGACCATGTCTTCGATTCCAATAATTGGGAAAGTCGTTGCATAGGGCTGAGGACCAACAATTTTCATAAGGATAAAATATTTTTTAATTTGAATGTGTGTGAATGTATTTGTATATATACATACATAGATTTATAATATTTATACATACATATATAACTATATCCATATATATTATATATATATTTATTTCTATATTTAGATGATCAAGGGGCTAAGTAAATCAAATGTTATGATTACAGAGCCAACCCTAATCCTTCAGGGACTATTGGTTATTGTTATTTAAATTTGCTTACCTTATTATTGCAGATGTTGATTGATGAAGGTCCCCTATGAGTATTAAAAAAATGTTTTAGCATAATACACTTTTTTCTTAAAGAATGTACAACACAGGACATAGGCTATTTAGGACAGTACATTATTAAATGGTAGGACTTACAAAGTCCTTACCTTAAAACAAAGGACACAGACTCTACAGGACAGTATATTATTAGAACTCACGAAGTCCCGTAGCACCCTCCTAGGTTGTTGGGGCAAATGACAAAAAATTTGTTCGTGTCGATAGCGCAGCCATGGCCAATAAACTTCTCCCACCAGCCTGGCTTCATGTTGTCCTGGAATTTTATTACTCATTTTTTTTATTGAATTATTAATTATTATCTCAACTCATCTCATGGTTAATTATTGAAATGTTTGTTAATTGGCGTTAATTGAAATTGATTCTAGTGAATGGGTTATTACAAATCAGAATGTTACATTTGTTTTTGGTCAATGTCAAGATAGAAAGAGGTTTATTGAATATGTTGCAGAAAATCAAAATTTTGTTCACACTACTACAAAACAACACTATAAAAATAAAATCTTTAAGTTAATTTTAAGTTAGTTTTCAATGAAAATTAAGAAGTGGGTCAAAATTGAGTAATAAAATTTCCCACAAACCCATAGACAGATATTCAAGTAAAATCTTATGATATAAAAATGTAAAGTATTTACAATAAATACTTGAAATAACAATTAATATATAAACTCTTTAAAACCATAATGACGCTCACAGGCGTTGACATGCTGGCCTGCCATACCGTAACAACAGCATTTTTTTAATACTGCGAAATTCCGTTCAATGGCCGCGTCTAAACATTTACATCGCCACATTAGTATTTATACTAAGACTAATCCTATCCATGATTTTTGTAGAAAAATGAACATACTTTCATTTTCTATGAATAAGAACTCATGAAAAGTAATTCTTATCATTAATTTTCCTGACCGAAGCATATTTTTTTGCCCGAAAAAATAAACTCTTTATTTTTTCTTCAATAAAACTAAGTAATTGTTTTCTTCAATAAATAAAAAATTATTTGAAATTTATACCAGTGTGCAGGGCATTCAACTGCGGTTAATTTTTTTCATTAATGTGTGGGGTTTAAATAAACGGGTAAAAAGATATGGGTCCTTTAGCCACAGGGGTACTGAAAAAAAGGAGTAAAAAAAAATAATTCCCGTAAAACTAGAAAATAATTATGGGGTTAAAGAGTGTAACATTTTTGTACTTACCACCGAACTCCGGGCATGCGAGCTGGCTGACAACCCAGCCAAGACAACCACAGCATTGGACTTGTCCTCATTCAATTTTCCCCAGGTTTCATAGGCAACGTCCAGCTTTGGTAAAACACCGTTATTTATTTTCAGTGAGAAAGGTTTGTGGGAGGAGAATAGCTTGTAGCCTTTTGTGATGTTGTCATACTCTGGCTCTGGGCCTGTGTTCTTTCTAGATGTCAAACACAGGAGAAGTGTTAAATAACAGATAAATCTTGCTTGAAAAAAGGAGAGTGTAATCTAATTTGAAAATTAATTTTTTTTAAATTTAGTAGTTAAATCCCTTAAATTAAATTTCATTTACAATACTTTATTCTTGGGATTTTATAATTTTACTTCCCGAATATTTACTATACAATTTCATACAAAAAATGAGTCTTAAAATGAATGTATCTCGAAATTTAGAAAATATTCTCCAACACTAGGAAATATCCTACAGCGTGGACAAGACTTCACTCTTTTAAAGATTACGTTTTAAAGAGGCATAAAATCTTTATTTTCAGCACTAAAATTTTAATTTTAAAACAAATTAAGAAAAAAAAAACAACAAATTTGAAATCAAAGATTACTTTTTAAAAAGGCATATAATCTTTATTTTCAGCCCTTAAATTTTAATTTTAAAACAAATAAAGAAAAAAATAATTTTAAATCATGTCCATAGAAAAATAAACACTAACTTACGCTCTGGCCAGACAGGGGAAGCTGGTGTCAAGTCCTTTAAATTGGGAATCTTTAGAAAATAATTCTTCAGCAACTGGAACAGCAACCTAAAATTAAACAAATATAAAAACTTTATTAATAAGCTTTTAAATGCACTGACAATTCTTTTAAAATTAATAAAACAAACCTTTTTTTTTAAATTTAAAAAATCATTTGCTAAAATAGGTTAGAGATTTTATGAGTGACCATAAGAAAGAGAATATATTCAACGATAATTCTGAAAGCAAATGGAATATAATCATCTACATTAAAAAGAATTCTTCCATTTTTAAACCTGATGGTCCATGGAGTGGGTTCAACTATTACTGTGACCTTGGCATATAAAGGGATAGTGTGTTCCCAGCCGCCTCTACTTTCCCTATGTTAGGTACCCATGAGAGCTGGGTGGACTCAGGGACGTTCTACTGACTTGAACCCGGATTCAAACTATTGACTTTTGGGTTAGCAGTCTAGTACTCTCCTGCTAAGCCACGCTGTCCTACTCTACAGTTAACATACTTAAAAATGGTGACTTTTTTTTTAACCTCGATCAGATGAAGTAGAGTTTACCTGTTTCAGGGACATTGGCATGACAAGGGATAGTGTGGTCAACACTATGCCTTACCACCTTTACTTTCCGGTACCCATCAGAGCTAAGTGTACTCCAGAATGTCCTAAGGATCCAAACTCAAAACTTTCGAGTTAATAGTCATTCCCTCTACCATCCCACAACGGTGTCCCTTAAACATTTTTACCTGCTTCAAATTACTTGTCATTGGCTGTTCCTTAATCTTCACTGACGCACTATCTGTTGCAAAACTGCGTCTACAATCTAAGGATACAACACCAGCACTCCTGTGGCATGCCAAAAACTTTTTCTGCTGTCTACTTAGCTGACGTGTCACAGATCTGGAATTCCCAGCAAGGGATTTGGAATCTAGCGCCAAAACCGATGGCTGTGAAGAAATAGACGGCCGCGCTGGTTGAGAATGGTGTTGTAATCTGCGAACCACAACAGCTAAGTTTTTTAGACTGTTGAGACATTGCCAAGTGTCAGTGAGAGGCTGTAGAGATAATCTGTGCCAAGTTGATGCTGCCAGTGATGTTGATGCCATTGCCGAAAGCCCAGTGTTATTAAGCTAATCTTAAGCATGGAAGAAAAATTTGACAATTTAGTAAAATAGTTGAAAATACAAGTACTATACACTATTGAACACTAATGTAGGTTAGTGGAATGGAAATTATTTTAATAAAACCTAAGTTACAAGTTAAATATTAAATTACAAAATATTTCTTCAATACATCTGGTCTAGCATATAGGCCTATAAATAGACGGCCCTAGAGTTAAAATTATTTATTTTTAGGCCTCAATAACCCAAAACAGCCTAATACTAATTATAATAATAAGATATTGATAAGTTATCCAATAAAAAAAAACCTATGATGTAAGACATTCATTCATTGTAGAATCTCAGTAGTACTTAAAGAATTTACTCAAAAGTCATTAACCAAAAATATCTAAACACTAACAAAGACGACGTGGTGAATTGGTAGAGCTCATGACTGCTGGTCAGAAAGTCTCAAATTTGGATACCAGGCCTGTGTCATTGTGACCCCTCTGAGCCCACCCAGCTCTGATGGGCACCTGACCCGCATTAAAAAGGCCAAGGACGCTGGGCATAGTGGTGACAATTCTACTCCTCTGTATGCCAAGGTCACGGAAACTTGATCTGCCTTATGTGTCTTGGGTATGGGAGATGATGATGAACCATCTAGCTAGGCTATTTATAATTACTAATTTAATAATCAATTAGGTCCTATGCTCAATTTGGATGATTTTTAGATACGGATGTCCGATAATAGACTCTTCTATAAAATAGGTGTGTTGGGTTGTTACTAGTATTGTAATCTCGACTAATTTTATAGTTAGAAATTAGGGTTAGGCGTATGGTAGGACTAGGGTTGGGGTTAGGGACAAAGTTAGCATTGACTTTAGCCAGCAATGTGTGTATTTAGTTAACTACAAGTAACCTAACATCCCTTTATTTAAAGAAGATTCTATTATCGGACACTGGTATAAAAATTCTCCCTAGATCTAGTTGAAATTCTAGATCTTGATTAATCTAGTCTAGATCTAGAATCAATCTGAATCTACTGAATTTAGAATCTAGATTCTAAATCTATTCTCTCTAGACTCTAGACCTACTATATTATTAATTTTTTAGCCTAGGCCTAACTAAAAGTAGTATTAAGTTTAACCTTCTCAATCAATAGTTCAATAGTAACAGAGTAATAATAGTAATAGTAAGTAAGTAAAGTTTCCTTTCAAACTTGACGGTCTATGGGGCAAGTGAAGTAGAGTTCACTTGTTTCTGTGACCTCTGCATATAAAGAGATAGTGTGGTCAGCACTATGCCCAGCCGCCTTTACTTTCCCTAACGTGAGTTAAGTACCCACCAGAGTTGGGTGGACTCAGGGACGGTCTACTGACTTGAACCCGGATTGAACTCGAGACTCACAGGTTAGCAGTCCAGCTCTCTTACGCAAGATCACTCGGTCCCGCAATAGTAATAGAAAAGGCCTATAAGACTCATAGTGTGAGTAATAACACCTAAGTGACTACTCGGAAAAAGATTTTTCGCCCCAACGTCTCCACCTAGTCTGCAAAAGTTAGTTCTGCGCATGCGCAGTGATCTATGGCTAGGGTTAGGGATAGGATAAGGGTTAGGGTTCTGCGGTTGTAAACACATGCATGCGCAGTACCATCGAAAACTTCGCTGCGAAGGCAAGTGGCAGTTTCTCTCCATTGCGCATGCATATCTTTTTCCGGCTAGCATCGGCCTAAGTATTAGACCCTACTATAACTACAGAATTATTTAATTTTAACTATAAGTATTAGTATTAAGTATTAGGCCTATAAATAGTAATAAAATAGGCTCATATCATATGATATATGTATATAATTCTCTAGTTAGGCCTATTTTAAGTAAGTGTTCTTGGTAATCTATTGTTTTAGGTGCGTAAAATCGTCCGAGGCTTGTAATGTGCGAAAAAGTTGCCTCATTGTTAAGGCTTTAATTGAAGTATATTGTGATATAGGCAGTATTTGTGTCAAATATTATAGATAACAGAATAATAAACCAAAATCAATGGCTAAATATATCAATTAAGGCTAGAAATTAACTTTAAATTAAACAGTGTTTGCGAGCAAGATTTGCTATATAAACAGCAGCCATCAGTAAGTTAGAGTGGTTTCCCCTGAATCTCCCACTATACTTCTAACAACAAAAAAGTTAAACAAGATGACTGCTATAGCTGCTATACTAGGCTATAGGCTAAAGTAAATGAGCTTGGTTGTATCTGATAAAAACATCACTAAATCTAGTCTTAATATATTACTTAAGTTTTAATACAATATTGTTGAAAAACATGTGCATTAATGTCAATGAAACTTTGAAACATGTTTGTAACTTTCAAAACATAGGGGCCTAAATTGCTAAATCCTACTAAAAATGTGAAATATTGTTAAAAATTTAATGAGTCACCTTTTTTTCACATCACTAGTTTCGGCCGATTTTACGTACCTAAAAAACGATAGATTACCGTATTCTTAGGCTATAGCCTACTTATTCTATTCTAAATCTAGATATAGATCTAGATCTAAGATCTAGATTTCTAGATCTAAATTTAGTCTAGAATCTAACTCTTAAACTCTAGAGATCAGGAAGACTTTTAAACTTTTAGTTTTACTTTTATTTTTAAGACAAGTTTAGTTTAGTAATTATTAATTATCAGTAATGCCTACTCACTCAGTACTCAGTATGAAATGAATGAATTACACTTAGGCCTTAGGCCTACTTGTCACTTAGTCACTTAAACTACAAACTACTACTAGATCTAACTAGATCTAGATCTAGATCTAGATCTAGATCTACAGACCATTCATTAAAACATGAAAAGCAAATCAAAGCAATGTCATCATCACGACACAGATTAACTAAGTGTACACGAAAAGTACACGTGCTGAGTGCATGTTTGGTTGTCTGCTAGCCTAGGCCTAGTCTAGTTGATATTCACAATGACTCTGCAAATAATGGTATAAATATAGCATTGTCCCATATTTCCATGGGCGTTTTTATTTTTATTATTTAGGCCTAGCTTGAAGTTTAAAGTTATCCTGTACTGTAGAGTCAAGAGTTCATAACGTTAAAAATGTCGGAACAAATAATAAATAGATTATAGATCTACATGTTACAAAGAATTACGATCCAGTACATTAATGTTTTAAATAATATTCAACTTAGTAATTTGAATTTTACAAGCAGTGTATCATCCCTACCTGTAACACTGTTAGAAGTCGCCGATGAAGGTTGTGTCTGGGTTAAAGTTCACAACCGCGAAACATAAACATTCACGCAACCCAGGTATGATCACTTGGTTTTTCCGGTGCAAGATTTTAACATTAAAAAAAAAAGAATCTGTCGCTAGGAACGCTAAGTTCATAGTTGTTAAACACAAATTATATATAGATCTAGAGTCTATATGGAATAATTTTTAGGCCTACTTAGTTTTCCAGTTAACATTATACTATGACGTAGCTCTTATTCTTATCTGTGCACTAAACCACACATCATATGTAATAAAAAAAAAGAGTGACTTAGTTGTACTGAAAATTAGAAAGAAAAATTAAACGGGAGTGATATCCCCTAATCTCTCTTGTATAATTATCTTTTGTGAAAGCCTATAATTAGTAGGCCTATATTTAAACTATATTAGTTAGGAGGTCATCCATTTATGACGTCCACAATTTTTATTTCAATTCCCCCCCCCCCCCCCCCCCCCCCAGTGGCGTAGCTAGGATTTTCGGGCCCCTGTGCAAACATTATTTTTGGGCCCCTACGTCTATCTGTAAACTGTGTATTTTATACGTATTGTGTATTTATACGGCATTATTATGTAGTACCCCGTAACGTAAAATACCTTTGCTTTTACATAACTTTTATGTAAAAACCAACTAAAAAATTACCTGTAAGCCTGTAACATTTAAGTAACCTAAAACAGTAGTGTAACAGGGCAGGGACCTCACAATTTAGGCGTGACACCATGACGAAAACTCGTAAAATTTATTGTCAAAACTATGTTTTATTCAGTTAAAATAATAAGATATTAAGGAGAAGGGGTAACACTCCACCGGAAATGCAAAATTGCTGGATGGGGTGGGGTGACACTCACTAAACCAGTGTTTCTTCCAGACTTTTTCTCCAGGGGGGGGGGGGGGGCTTTTGAAAATTTCGGGGGGGGGGGGGGGCGGTCTACATTTTTCGGGGGGTGGGGGGGGGGGGGGGGGTAATCCCTTTCTCCGTTGTGGACGTCCACACAAATTTAGTACACCTCTCAAAATTTAATTTCAATTTACTTTTTCAATAACATGTATTGTGTAGACCCTATCGCCTGCTACAGTAGAATCTAGAAAGCAGAGATATAAAGAAAATGTGTATGTTTGACACGTCAAAGTATTAACATACTATTTATTGACATGATTTTCCCATTAACGTTCATCGCGCGTCTTCAAAACTAAACGGCCCCGTCAAAACGGCTATATTGTCTAGACGACAGCCCCCCCCCCCCTCTCAAAAAAGGTGCCTGAAAGAAACTTTGGTGTAAACCTACTCACTGTGTAGCACAAATACCACTATGTGTAACCTGCACATTATCACCTACCTGAGTCAAAAGACACAAGTGGGCCTATATATGCTATAAATACCTCTTTGAGTAACATGCGCACAGTCCTATACCCAATGGGTTTACCCTGTGATTAATGGGTAACACCCACACTATACCAGTATGGGTATAACATATTACTACGGTTTTTTCAGACTTTTGTTATTTCGGAGGGGGGGGGGGGGGGGGGGGGGGGGCGCTAGGAAACTTGCGGGAGGGGCATTTGAATCTTCAGCGCGGGGTTTCGGGGGTTAGACTAAATGTTTTTTTTTTTTAAATGTCTATTAAAACTCAATATTTTCTATTTTATCGGTGGACGGTTGACGTGTTTCAGGGAGGCAGTGCCATCCGCTTCCCCCCCCCCCCCCCACCCACTTTGGGCTTTATGTTCCATTTCATTTTTGTAAAATACATATATCCTTGTACAAAACCGCGCACACACATTACACATTACACACTAGCTTTTTCCGTTAGAGAGAACGTTGCTCGGACTACACATATAGGCGACACTTCTCCATTCCCCATCATATAACATCAAATGAGACAAATTTTAACCACTGATGCTTATCGCCGAATCCAAGTACCGCCAGAGTTTCTTCCAGGCTCCGCCCCCCCCCCCCCATAGAAAGTCTACCGCCCCCCCCCCATAGAAAGTCTACCGCCCGCCCCCCCCCCCGGTGGCGTAGCTAGGCGACGGCGGGTGGGGCGGCCGCCCCGGGCGCCGACCCTAAGTGGGCGCCAAAAGGGGTAGAACAATTAATTGAAAAGCTCAATTTAAGCTAATTTTAAGCTGAATTATTAAAATATATACAGTCAAAGTTAAGAAAATAAATGACTTCAATTCGTTTCACATTAATTTAACTGTTTTCTATATCAATTTCGTGGCACCGAAATAGAAAATCCATTGGAATAGTAACTGGTAAGAAGCTCCACAAACCTTTCCAATTTATTTACTTTGGAGGAGGGGGATGGGGATTTTTAAAAAACGGGGGAGGGGCGCTTTTTCAAAGACAGGAATAACTATAAATAGAATGGGAGGGAGGGGTGCAAAAATGTATATTCTGCCCCGGGCGCCGGAATCGGTCGCTACGCCTCTGCCCCCCCCCCCCCACACGAACGAGATGGATTTTATATAGTAAATATACACTTTTACTAGTATCCGCCCCTCCAAAAAAATGTTGACCGCCCCCCTCCCCCCCAAAAATTTAAAATGCCCCCCCCCTCGGAGAAAAAAGTCTGGAAGAAACACTGAGTGCCGCTAAATCATACCTGGATAACATGTGCAGGACTTATAGGCTTTCCTGTTACAGATTCTATTACAGTCTGAGGCAGAATCTTTGGCCTAGTCGTCACGCATGGCCAAATACTAGCACGGCGGAATGTGGGCGTAAACCCGGATCGTCGAAACGGAAGTGCTTAAATTTAAAAATGGCTGTTACTTTCGAAATTACAAGGCCTATGCGATTTAAAAAAAAAAACTATCATAATTTTATAATACTATTATAATTTTATCTATATTACATTTAAGATCCAATTAAGTAAAAAGCAACATTTTATATTAGCCCAGAAACTATGTCAAATTCTTTCAGATTTTCCAATACTTATTCAATTGACCCCGATGTGCCAATATAGTGTGATTTGTTTTACGTTAAAAGAAAAAAAACAACAACAGCGAATTAAAAAAAAACTTTCTAATATAACATGTGCAACATCCATTATAATATAGACATACAACATACTACGATATAAAAATAGGCCTACTTTGGCAATAAATAAAAATTAAGAACATTTCAGGATACGGAAACAACCAACATAATATAAGTCCTATTTGTTATTTATTTAATCATTGAACATTATCTTACTTCAATAAAGTGTATAAAAGGGAGTGCACAATTACAAAACACAATGATACTTAAAAGAGGTTAATTCCCTTTAACATTTCAGGTATAGGAATTTTTTTGCTAAAAATGTTTTGAGAATTTGTTCAAAGGAGACTATCACGGACGATAACTCTTAAAACCAGGAGTAAACATTTCAAGAAGGAGACATTTAGATCTAGTGACGATCGTTTTTTTCGGTAAATTTTTTGAACAACAATATAATAAACATAGAATGAAAACCCCGTCATTAAAACGACTGTTTTACGGCTAATGATAGGGCGACTATGTAAAATGGGGTATAAGACATTTAGATATCATCATCAGTGGCGTAGGCAGGGGGGGTGGTTAGGGGGGTCATAACCCCCCCCCCCCCAAAGACCCCTCGGTATATATAAAATATATAAAAAGTATAAGGGGGGAGCAAATCGAAAGTTTGGGGGGGGGGGTGGTGCAAATCAAAAGTTTGTCCCCGGGTAAAAATTGGACCCCCCCCCCCTTGAGACGATCCTGGCTACGCCACTGATCATCATACACAATGCGAAGGGAGGGTCGTTTGCAGTATAAGAATGCACTAGCTCTACAAATAAGGACACGGAATTGCAATCGTCTTCATCATGCAAGTGTAATAATCTTTTTCAGTTTGTGCCCATGACACATGGGGTAGATGAAGTAGAGTTTCAATGACTTCGGCATGCACGAGGACAATGGGATCATCACCATTTTCATGCATCAAATGTGTAGCCAAATAAAGGAATAGATACAGCACATGTGTAGTCAAATAAAGGAATAGATACAGCACATGTGTAGCCAAATAAAGGAAGAGATACAGCACATGTGTAGCCAAATAAAGGAATAGATACTGCACATGTGTGGCCAAATAAAGCAACATATACAGCACATGTGTAGCCAAATAAAGGAATAGATACAGCACATGTGTAGCCAAATAAAGGAATAGATACAACACATGTGTAGCCAAATAAAGGAATAGATACAGCACATGTGTAGTCAAATAAAGCAATAGATACAGCACATGTGTAGCCAAATAAAGGAATAGATACTGCACATGTGTGGCCAAATAAAGCAACATATACAGCACATGTGTAGCCAAATAAAGGAATAGATACAGCACATGTGTAGCCAAATAAAGGAATAGATACAACACATGAGTAGCCAAATAAAGCAATATATACAGCACATGTGTAGCCAAATAAAGGAATAGATACAGCACATGTGTACCCAAATAAAAGAATACATACATCACATGTGTAGTCAAATAAAGCAATAGATACAGCACATGTGTAGCCAAATAAAGGAATAGATACAGCACATGTGTAGCCAAATAAAGGAATAGATACAGCACATGTGTAGTCAAATAAAGCAATAGATACAGCACATGTGTAGCCAAATAAAGCAATATATACAGCACATGTGTAGCCAAATAAAGGAATAGATACAGCACATGTGTACCCAAATAAAAGAATACATACATCACATGTGTAGTCAAATAAAGCAATAGATACAGCACATGTGTAGCCAAATAAAGGAATAGATACAGCACATGTGTAGCCAAATAAAGGAAGAGATACAGCACATGTGTAGCCAAATAAAGGAATAGATACTGCACATGTGTGGCCAAATAAAGCAACATATACAGCACATGTGTAGCCAAATAAAGGAATAGATACAGCACATGTGTAGCCTAATAAGCAATACATACAGCACATGTGTAGCCAAATAAAGCAATAGATACAGCACATGTGTAGCCAAATAAAGCAATATATACAGCACATGTGTAGCCAAATAAAGGAATAGATACAGCACATGTGTACCCAAATAAAAGA